GAATAAATGTTTGCTCTATTAACCTATAGTCTGCTATTGTATATTCCGGATTAATAATTCTTCTACAATAGTGAACTTGTACTTGAAGAAATCTAAAACTATAATCGAGAAACTTAGAGAGAAAAGAAGAAAAAAATATTTTCTCTTCATGTGAAATAGGCGTGAAACAAAAAAAACTTATTTCTTATCAACCTAATCTCTATTATATATAGCACAAGGAATTAGAGTCACACTTAGAGAGGATTATATGAAAACAAATCCCAATCCTTCTATAACTTTATATAGTCGAAAATTGCAGTCCAATGGGGACTTAATTTTCGGCTATATTAATTCCAATATAATATTGGTTGAACTTAATTTTCTCGATTAATTGGAAAATCCATTGAGCTACAATAGGGACTAAAGGAGAAAATATAAATCGGATAACTAATAATTAATTAAATCAAAACACTTAAAAGGATTCATTTAATCAATCATTAAATAATTATTTATTTTCCACTACCAAATAATTATTGAACTCCCGTTTATATTCTCAAATATTACATTCGAGCTCTGGTCGATCATTACTTAGATTAATTTATTCACTGTTGGGGATCGTGCATGTATACGCAGCGGAATTTAAAAAATTTTATATCGAACTAGTTTCGATTACATGCAAAACTAATCATATAGTCAACGTACCTTAACGCTTCCGCCATACATATGGTAATTTTTCGATTTAATTGAAAAATACATAAAACCGAAAATCACGAAACATGCTTATTCATCATTTAATGAAATCGAAACATGTAATCACATATTACTCATAATCGCAAATCATAATTCATACAAACATGCTCGAATAAATTTACGATAGTTTCGATTCATTTACCTCTTGTAGCGTGCGATTTCGACGAATCGAAATCTTAGAACGAGTCACGTACAAGCTGCTATATACCACTCCTAGGGGCTGCAGGAACACCACCAAACGGCAGCTGGACCGAAGGTGTAGCGACGGCGGCGCGTGCGTGACGACGGCGGCGGCGCGTGGGCGGTGCAGCGGCGATGCGGCGATTCCGTCGGGGCAGCAGCTCCTCTCCAATTAGGTTTCACCTCGAATAAACGGATCTCCCCTTACTGTAGCACTAGATACAAAGGGGTTAGATAACAAGGGAATACGATAGAGAAAGGAGAGGAAAAACCGGCGGATTCCGGCGACGGACGGCGGTGGCGCGGCGGAGATGCAGCGGCCGAGAGGGGGGGACGAGCGGCTAGGGTTTTGTGCTGTAAATCTTATCTCAAAACTCCTTTTGAGGTCTATTTATATCTAGGGTTTTCAACCCTAGCGGGCTTAAGTCATTGGGCTTGACCCACTGATGCATTAAGTCCATTCCCTTTACGGCCTCGTTTCTAATAAACGATCGTCCACAAAATTATAACAAAATTATATTTGTGACGAGCTCAAAGTCCTCGTCGATACGAGTGCCTCTTCGAAATTTCCAATTTCCAAAATTGGAAACTTCCAATTCAGTGGACTTGCTAAATCGGGAAACTTCCCAATTTAGAAAGTTCACTAAATTCCGCATTTCTCTTTCTCTACGTTTATTCCGACTCGTAATCCACAATCACGAATCTTGGACTCAATCATATTGACCTCCAACTTTGCAAAGATTAACATATTAATCTATGCTCATTGTTATCAAGGATCCATGTTACACGAGAAGTGTGACCCTCAATGGTTCAGGTGTATGCTAGCCGTGGGCTCACAACTCTTTGTGATTCGAACAACACATTGTTCTTATACGAACTCCTCCCAAGAGTCCCGATTAGTGTAAAACTCATTCTACCTAATCCCGATCAAATCGGTGCCCAACGAATCAAGATTGGCGTCTAGCAACTACGCATCATGATTCCCTAGATACAAATGAAGTGCCTGCAAGAACCTTATGATATAGTTAGCGTACAGTACGATCCCTTCGTAGCACATGTCCCGATTGAACTAGAGGCATTGGTTCACCGAGACCTCTTATAAAGTTCAATAACCGTGCGAACGTTCTAGGTATTATAAATCCGTTCGTGTGCGACTTAGGGAAACACATTTCCCTAATCACCCCACTATCAACTCTGGCCAGAGATTCCATGGATTATAAACCGTCAGAACACACAGGACATCCATGACTACTCAAGCGCTCGAATCCCCTACTACAATACACAGACTTCACACTAGATTTCGGATTGCACGAACGTTGGCCCTTGGAGCGGTCCGCGGTGGGACTCAGGGACAGGTCACGATACAATCGGTCCTCTAGTGAAGTCACGGTGATGTCTGGGTCTTAAGGACTAATGGTGTACAACTATATCTTAGAAACCTATTACTCGATGAATGAGAACCACTTATAGATTTCTAGGGCGAGGGAGTTCAGTGAACTCATCCAGTATGAGCACCCTCTCAAGTATGCCGATGTCACAACACCGAGGACTGATGAGACGCAGTACACATACACTAAGTGCTAGTCTCAAAAGGGAAAGGCCGGTATCCTCATTATTGGCGTAACCCATCGACTAGGAACAAGGTTTAACAGTTACATTACATTGCTGAGTTATCTCACGATTCTACTAGATCAACTCACAGTAATAGAGTAACTCGTTAGGACTATATCTATGCTGCTTGCATGGGATAACAGATATAGAATGCCAAATAAGATATTTTATTATTACGAACGAAAAACGATTGTTTTATTACAAAGAAAAGAGAAAAACCACAGCCACAAGTTGGCTTGCCGGTCACCTACTCTAACATTACCCGCTTAACTTATTTGAGTATGCCGGATACGAAATCCACCAGGCCAGGACTTGACATAAACAAATCTTATAAGCTACTCAAGGGTTATTATCAATCCCATATTTCAGAGATGTGGATTCCTTTCGATAATTAGTTTCCACCTATTAATTCTTAATGTCTCTACCCAACGCACCGGGGGCCATTTGACTCAATATAGGAATATCTCCCATTGTGACACCAAAGTAGAGACCATCAATTAAATGTGTACGTTAATAATCTAGAGATTAAGAGAGTAAAAGTAATTTACTGTCAACTAGAAATAATACAGTTTCATTTATGAACAGTGATGAAACAATTATTTCACTTTGTCCGGTTCAACACATGCCGGGTGTGCTAGCACAATAAGTTAAAACAATAACTACAAAAGTTATTCTCTGTTTACTGTGATCAAGACCAATCACTTAAATATTGTGCTACAATTTTTTACCAATGGTTAGTCCATTTCCATCTAGATTGTGAATGTTTATCTTTATATTCTAAACGAACTTTCGAAATGATCTTGCTGTGCGCCGTAACACACCAATTCGAATACTATTAGAATATTAGACTTATGCTTTTAATTAATTGACAAACAATCAATTAAATGCATTGAAGACCCTTGTGTAGATTCTCCTAAAATGATAATATACTATTTTATTAATTCAATAATAAATTTATGTAGCTAAAAGCGAGACTTTTAGTCTACTACCCCAACACCTTTTTCCTCAGGTTGAGGTGCTATTTATACTTAATTAATAGAGGACTCCTAATTAGAGCAGTAACCTAGTTTCTCTTTAATTATGACTCTAATTAGGTATTTTATTAATATGAGCATAATTAGTGGGCTTATTGGGGCCCAAATAAGAGAATGAGCTTGATTTATTTATCTGGCGGGCCTTGGACCCTAGTATTTCGGCACACATTATTTTATAATCTAAATGGCCCAAAGTGGCCCATTTAGGTGTATCAATAATAAAATTCAATAAGCATCTTCCATCACATTCCCAATCTTCACATCTTCGGCAAAACTTACATCTTTCAATTCGAGTTCATCCAGTGAAAGTTGAGCAATATCAAGAACTCCTGCATCTTCTATATTGTCAAAATCATCTCCACCCACATTCCACATTTTTGTCTTCTCATCATAGTACTGAGCGCTACTTCTATACAAAAGATGAAGATTGGTATAAATGACGACCAAATTCTCCGCACGTTTATGATTTAACTTATTCCTTCTAAATGGATGAAGGAATAAGTACTCCAATTCCTCTCGAAACAAGATGAAGAACTTGGTTGTCCAAGCACATTGAAAGCCAACTTTTGAAGTAAAGGAGCACCCGAACCATAACATGCTCATCATTTCCTAGGCTCAATATCATATCTACTCACAATCCGGATCTCTAGATGGACCTAGTCTTGAGAGAGAAATTAGCAAATTCATCAATTGCATTCGTGCGCTTCTCTTTACATTGAAAAAATCTTCTAAAACATTTAATTCTTTCGGATGAAACTTCCCCATCCATATGAGGAGTCAATCTATCGTGTCCCTCCAAAAGTCATTTTTCACTATAATACCTTCAAAAAAAAAAAAGGCATGTAAAAAAAAATATAGTAGAATAATAGATAAGGAACAAAAAATTTTATATACCATTTCATTTCCGTTCCAAATAATTTAGGAAGAATCGGAAATTCAAAATGAAAATTACTATTCCAAATTCGAATATTTTCAGATCGAAATTGACGGAATTCAAAAATTTCATTCCAATTTCCACGCAAGTGATTTTTGCTAAAATATATGAAAATGGTCATATCACTATATCATAATAACTGACAAGTCAACAAATGAAGGAAAAAGAAAAGAAAAGAGAACCAACCAATATTTGCTCCTATATTATAGATAATCCATAGGATAGTTTTGGCTGACCATTAATAGTGTCTAAATACCTCTAATATTAGTCTCCCCTTCTTTTACTAAACAAATGAATCAAACTCTATTTCTTATTGAAAATTTGGCTTTTCTCACCTTTTCTTCTCCCTCCAACAGGCCATGCAACTGCCACCACCACCGCCACCATCACCACCGACCGGAGAGAGAAAGAAAAGCCGTTGGGACAAGCAATAAATTCAACCTATCTCGTTCCCACCCTCCCTGCCAGAGCCGCGTCGCCGGAACAACCCCATTTTTTGATTTAAAAAAATAAATAAAAAATAAAAAACCGGTAAAGATGAATGATTTATTTTCACACTCTTTCAAAAAATACCAAGATGTAAAGACCCAAGGCCCAATGGAGGACATCGAAATCGGTGGGGCCGCGGGCCGAACCGAGGGTGTCAACCTCGATAAATTTTTCGACGACGTTGAGAGCGTCAAAAAAGACATGCTCGATGTTGAGATGCTTTACAAACGGCTCCAAGAATCAAACGAGGAGAGTAAAACCGTCCATAACGCAAAAACCATGAAAGAACTCCGGGCTCGAATGGACGCTGACGTTAATCAGGTAGCTAGGAGTGTAAACGAATAGAGTCGAGCCGAAATCATGATTTTTCTAACTTGTGTGAATTTTTTATTCGTGTTTAGATTTATTTACCGATCCGAACATGAATCGAGTTTGCGGATATTTTATCATTTTGTTCTAATCAAGTAAAGCTCGAACGAGAACCTTCACATTTTAATCAAAAATCCGATTTATTCAATAATTGAAATCGAGTCAAGCTCGAACGAAGTTCGTAACATCATTCTCAAAGTATCGAGCAATTTGACCTAATTTTCCGTCGCCATGCACATGCAGGTCCTCAAACGCGTAAAAGTTGTAAAGAACAAGTTGGAGGCTCTCGAGAAGTCGAACGCAAGCCACCGCCGCGTCCCGGGATGTGGGCCCGGCTCGTCAGCAGACCGGACCCGAACTTCCGTGGTGAGCGGCCTCGGGAAAAAGCTCAAGGACATAATGGACGACTTCCAAGGCCTGCGGGCCCGGATGAACGAGGAGTACAAAGAGACCGTCGGGAGGCGGTACTTCACAGTCACCGGAGAAAAAGCCGACGACGAGTTGATAGAGAACATGATATCGAGCGGGGAGAGCGAGAGCTTTTTGCAGAAGGCGATACAGGAGCAAGGTAGGGGCCAGATATTGGACGCGATATCGGAGATTCAAGAAAGGCACGACTCGGTGAAGGAGATAGAGAAGAACCTTCTAGAGCTACACCAGATATTTTTGGACATGGCGGCATTGGTGGAGGCGCAGGGGCAGCAGCTCAACGATATAGAGAGCCACGTGGCGCATGCCAGCTCGTTCGTGCGGCGGGGGACCGAGCAGCTACAAGAAGCCAGGGAGTACCAAAAGGGTTCGAGGAAGTGGACTTATATTGCCGTTATGCTCGTCATCGTATTCATCGTTTTCGCTACATTCCCCATTTGGTCTCAGATTTTGCTAGCTATGATTTGATTTTTTTTTTCGCTTTGTTTTGTATTATAGCATCTTTTAGGCTATTCATTTTTTTTTTCTTTTGATTGTGCATTAGCCTGTTGTACGTGGCAAATTTTTTCTTGGTTAATTAATTGTAATATATATAGATATTCGAGTGTAGCCAGAAGTTTAATTGGGGAAGGGAAGTTAGGGTTTGTGGATGAGAATAGCTTTTGAATACAAATGGTTTATTATTTCATCATTTTGTTTTTCTTCTTTGGAAATATATGCACATTTAACTTCTTTCATTGATCTGAGTTGTTACAATTGTTGTATATAGTACTTTTGGGAGACTGGATTTTGAGCCAATTTCTATTGATTTTTTCAGTGGCATAAGTGTTATAGTTATTCTTTCAAAATTATGTCTTGGATGGAATGATAAATTAATGTGTAATAAACCAACTAGTTGAATATGTGTTTGGTTTGTAGTATTTTATAGAGAGGCCAAAAATGTGTAAAATCCTAATTTTGAAAATATATATGAGGAGGTCCTATGAGTTTTTCCGTTTTATTTAAAAACCAAATTCTGATTTTAATTTAGGAGATCCCTGAGGATTGTGATGTGACTATTTTACCCTCAATCATAGCATTTAAGTATAAATCCTAGTGGAACTATATTTTTCTATACACAACCGTCTTTCTCCCAAATCTTGTTTATTCGTTTCTCTCTCTGTCAAATCTCGGTTTTCTTCTCTTTCTACCCATAGTCTTCCGCCGCCCACCTTCGCTCCCCCTCCACCCTCCAAGCGCCGCTCCCCCTCCGTCTAGCGTCGCTCCCCTTTCTGCCGCACCTCCTAGTCGAGCTCAGCCACCGCCAACTGCTTCAAACTGCCGCCCTTATATGCGATGCTAAAGTCAGGGAAGAGGAAACAGTAGCCGCCGCTAATATGAAGACATAGCCAAAAACACCACTTTCCTCTCCGTCGGAGCAAAAACTGAGGATCTAGGGTTTGAATTTGAGAATAAGAGTGTGTAATGGGCGAATTGAAAGAGAAATCGAAATTCATGCCTTCATTGAAGATGCTAAAACGGGGTTGGTAGCATCAGGGTTTGAGATTATGTGGACGTAGTAGTCATTGCTGTAATTATCTCCTTTAATTTTTTTCTAACAATATTGGAAAATAATTTCACTCTTTTCATCTTTTGTATTTTCTTTACACCACCTTCTCAAGAACAGGGTAGCAAAGTGGGCCCACAACAAAAACGGAGAAGAATGCTTCTTCAGGGAGGTTGATGCATTTTTTTTTCGTATTTAGTCATATGTAGTCAATCATGTATAGTTATATAGTCATATAGTCATATGTATTCATCTACAGTTATGTATAGTTTATATATAGGATATGTAGGTTGTTTTTCTAATGTACAGTGATGTTGATGGATTTTTTTCGTAAATAATATTAATTTTTTATATAATTTGATAAATATGACTATACTATATTGTATAATCGAAAATATACAATTTTAAGTTGAAAATGTAAAAAATGTAATATAAAATAAGAAATGACTATAGTTGACTATAGTCATATATCATCGAAGATAGTCATATTCGTAACAATAAACTTTTCGGGAAAAGAAATTCATAAAAAAAATATACAAAATAAAATAAATTTATATTTTATTATTTTAAAGGAAAAAACTTATTAAAAAGTAAAAAAAAAACGAAAAATGATAAATGCAGTTGGTGAAAATGTTGAATGCAGTTAGGGCAAAAATTGCATGTAAGGGCAGCATAGTCTTTTGCCTCTTTAGGGGTTATCTCAAAGAAAGAATTTTAGGGGTGAACCTAGCCCTGTATATTTTCCATATTAATGGTGTATATCAAATGGCCCCTTACAGAGAATATGTGGTATCTATTCAACTTCTTATTTTCTTACCTGTAAAGCACACTTAAGTTTTCATAGCATAAATTTAAGATTTATAGTTGTAGTAACTAAAAATAAGATAGTGTAGTAAATCGGCATATTGCTCTTTGGTTTGATGATTTATAAAATAAAGTACAATAACAACAATATAAAGAGAAAGAGATAATACAAAGGCTGCACCTATTTGCAATCTCAAAATTTCTAAGCGCAAGACCTTACTTCATGCCAGACCAAAATATAAATAAATTTACTAAGAGCAAGACTGGAAATTACAAATATGACCCCAATATTAATTTTGATATTATTAATTCAAAAAATGCCTAATTGCTATTGCAAGACCAAAAAAATAAAAATGAAAAATGACCATTCTTCTTGACCAACAAAACCCAACCTCTTTTTCTTCACAAAAAAAATCTTTCATATTCTCCAAAAACCCTCATCAAATAAAACCATCAAATCTTACTAACACTTGAAAAGAACGACATTATGGACACACGAAACATTAATATGGATGATTCTAAGGTCGAAGAACACAATGAGATAAGAAATGATGTACTTTATTTAGCTTTGTGATCGTTTTTTCGTTTTTCGAAAATAATTTCGCGTACAAAAAAATTCGACGTTTACAGGTCGATATTTAGCAATAAAAACGACATTACAACGTCGATTTTCTTAGTTTTTGAAAAATCGACGCCAGCCTGTCGTTTTAATTGCTACAAATCGACACACTGATTTCGAATTTTGAACAAAATATCGACACACAAATGTCGAAAAAAATGCAAATAATCGACAACAACTTATTGTCGAAAATTAGTGAAAATTTTGGCACCAACGTGTCGAAATTTTACAAAAAAATCGACAAGTACAGGTCGATATTTTTAAAACCACAATTCCTTCAACAATGGTGGTGGAATCTAACCCTAAAATCATACCCTATGTTCTAAATGGATTTGTGGTGACTGTCGACTGCAACGGCAACGGCGGTGGTGGTCGACTTCATCGGCGACGGCGCGACGACGAATCTGCAAATAGTTCTCTTCTTCCCTCCTTCCCGTTCTTCAATTGTATTGGGTTTCTTTTTTCTTTTCTTTTTTTTTTTTTACTTTTTTTTTTAATTTGGTCTTGCAAGAGTAATTGGTGTAATTATGTTTTATTTTGTTTATATTTTACTAAGGTCATTATAGTCTTTTTACACTTAATTGATATAAAATTTTATTTGGTCTTGCCCTAAGTAAATTTTGGATTGCATATAGTCGCTGCCTAATACAAATGGACAATAACGCATAGAGAGATAATTATGAGTGTGTATATGGGAGATCGGAATATTCAATTATATACGTCTTATGTATAACTAAATGAATAATCTGCAAAACAACACCAAATATATATAATTTGCCCTCACATGCCATATACTTTTTAGATATATTATTACGTGAAACTTTATTTTTCTTCTCTCATTTTCCCTTTTCTCTCCACCAACCACCTTCTTTCTTCCGCCAGATTCATTTTTTAAATTGTAGGTCCTCCGCCGATCTCTGCCTCAGCCACCGTTGTCCCACCGTTTTTGCCTTTATTAATCGCCACCACCACCACTCCGTTCAATTGAGATTCAACACCGGCGACGAGATCTCAACAAAAGCGGAGATGAAAAACATAAGAAATCAAAAAGTCAATTCCGCCCATCCTGCCGCCGCAGGAGAAGCTGTTGCTGGGGAATTGCTATGGCATTGGATGTGTGACTTGTGTTTCTGAGGTGTATTACCTTCCACCTCTACACCGCCTCCAGCTCTTCCCTTTCACCTCCGCCCGTCGCGCTCTCCGCTGCAGCCGCCAAAGTCGTTAGAGAGGGTATGGTTTTTGATAACACCATTAGAGAGGCTCCAATGGTTAATCTCGGATTTATCTTCTTCTTCTTCTTCTTCTTTTTTTTTTTTTTTAATCACATTGTTGAGGTCGGTAATGAGAATAGTGCATTTTTGGAGAGTGGGGGCGAAGGTGATTCACGAAGATGGTGTTTTTGTTGTTGTATTCGTTGGAATTTGTTTCGCTAGAATTGTGGTATTTGTTTTGTAGTTGTTTAAAAAAATGTATAGTTGATTTAAATATCTTTAGTTTGTAGTTATTCTCAATAGTTTTGTAATTGTTTTCGATAACTTTTAGTTGATTTTGCTAATTTTGTAGTTGATTTAATATTTTTCATAGTTGATTTCAATATTTTTTATAGTTGATTCCAATAATCGGTAGTTGATTTCGATAATTGTTAGTTGATTCCAATTTTGATAAACATGCTGTTGAACACCACAATTTTATAGTTGTTTAAGGAAATTTATGGTAGACTCTAGGGAAAAAAAAATGAACTTGTAGTTGATGAAAAACTTGTAGTTGATTTCAGAAATTTTATAGTTGAATTTGAAAACAAAATATTAATTTCTTTTTTGGAAATTAAATAGTTTTTTGAATTAAATAGATGAAAATTAAAAAATTGAAAAGGGCATTAAGTAGTGGGTCATGAGTAGGAAATAGTAGTGAAAAATACATTTAGAATAAAATAAGGGTTGGATCTACCTCTAAGAGCAACGCCAATGGGATTATCACATAGAGTATTCAAACCTGATGATGCTAAAGTTAGATCACCTTAAGTCATTGAGGTAGGATGAGTTGGGAGAGCAAAGTGGATCACTGGCTCACGAGCTAGATGGTCCTGAGATACCTGCGAACATAGAACACATGAACTCGGCCCGGGTTGATCCGGCGGAATCCCCTCCGACGCTCCAATCAGACGTGCGGATAGTAGATGTAGTTGAGAGAATACAAATTGTAGTATTTGCTCAGATAATAGGGCGTACCTTAATAAATGAGTTAAAACATTTATTTAGACCTCGTTGCTTGGGCTGAAGTCAATTAACTGAGATTGCCGAACCCAAATCTTATCTGAAGCTGTTTGAGCCTTCGTTGTAATGGACTTCAAAGTTGGCCTCGTGGCCCAGTATTGTAGGCCCATTGGGTTGACCCAATTAGGGATATCAAACCTTTAACCACCATTTACACACTAAAAATAGAAAATTTTAATTCCAATGAAGTTATCAAATAATGGTTCTATTTTGATAATTCACCTCTTG